GGGGTGGTACAAAATTTTTAATCGCCCAAGTTTTACGATCAAAATATTACGTTTACCCTTTTTGGGGGGGATTTTAACCAGGGTCAAATTTCAAAGTTTCGACCTATTTCTAATTACAGGCTTAGTCGCGGCAATCTCAAGACCCGGCATGAACGAAGTATGGCTGGCGGGTGTCAGTTGCGCCGTGTTGGTGACGCTGCTGGCGCTACAGATCATCCTCAGCATCCATCTGGCCTACATTCAGGAAAGCGACGAGGAAAGTCTGCAGAACGTTCGGCTGCGCACCGGTGGCCCCTTGGCGGCGGCCTGGGCCGTTTGCTTCTTCATTTACATGGCGTACGCGCTGCTGCCGATCAGACTGCGTCACGCCTGCGTCGCCGGAATTATCTTCTCGATCTCTCACCTGGTGGGGGCGCTTTTGCTCTACCCCCAGGACTACCCTGTCCTCTTGGCGCACGTGAGTAAACAACATTAATTTTCCCTTTTACCCAGCAACAACGAAATTCCAATTTCCTCGCTGTGGAATTGCAATATTTTTTTTGTCAACAACCCTCCCACCTCTTGCACCCTTCCCTTTTGCAGTTTGATATTTGGGGGGTGGGGGGGAGAGCAGTAGTTTGGGGATAAAAACACGGTACGTTCAGTAACTCTCTTCGCGCAAATCGTCTCCTTCGTCACCCTATTCTCGTTTACTACCCCTAACGCTTATTTTCTTTGCCGTAAATCGAAAGCCCGTCACCACTTTCAAAGGCATTGTGCTGGTGAAAAGTTGGGGTAATAGGGGAAAAAAAAAAAAAAACAGTTTTGACGTAATTTTCAAAGCAATCGAAATCATCTTGACACATTCGATAAAAATCGAGCACCGAAACGTACAGTGTGTACAGTAAAGTTCATCAGTTGAATTGAATATCTTGAGAAATTTCTCTACCGAATGTACCGTTCGAGATTGCCAGCCGTTTTAATATCACTGTACAGTGGAGCCTCTCGCAAGTTACATACTCGTAGCTTACGCAAGGTCGGGAGTGGGTTTACCTGAGCTTTGTTATTGGTCAGGGGTGCGTGGGAGGGAGGGTCGGAGGGGGAGGAGGGAATTAAGAAAGTAATAGAATAACATTTTTTTTTTTTTTTTTACATCATATTAAACTGCCTTCCCTCGTTCGCGATTATTCATGAAATTTTAATTTCTCCCAAGAAAAGTTCTGACCGAGTAGGAACGTCTCGCTGGTAATAAAATATTTCTTTCACCTTTCTTCGCGGAAATCGATCAGTTTCCCTCTAACCGCGCTCTCTCGCACGATAGTCGTGAATATTTAAAGGCCTTAAGATATTGGTATCGAACTCGCGCTAATAAATAGAAAACTAGGACTGGATACACCTTTCAGTTATTATTAATTAATTTTCATGTTTTACCGTCACGTTTTTTATATATCGTATCTTCATTGTTGACATCCGTACACGTACGTATCCGACGTACTTTTATGGTCCGTCCGCGTCGAATTAATTTTATTGAAATTTAATTCGCAAAAATTTTTTCATTTTCATTCAAGTCCTCGTTCGACGTCGTTCACGCCTATTACATTAATGCTTTTCTCTTGCCAATTTTTTCTACGAAAATACGTAACGCCAAACGTCCAAGCAACATACCCATGTGTACCATTGTCAATGGCTAATTTGAAAATGCCACGTTTGTATTTATTATCATTAACCGCGATGGAGTCGAACGTCAATAATAATTGGTCGCTCATCTACTTCTACGGCCAACCGTATATGCCCGCGTGTCATATGTATTTATACGCGCTATGTAAATCCGCCCGATTTGTGTGCCCTTGCACTGAAATGCATATCTCTATAAATTCTATATCTGTGAATTCAATCAATGACGTAATCCAAGTGTAATTCTTAAGCTTGCATTCACTGATAATGCATAACTTTCTATATACATATATATATATATATTTAATAAAAATTACAATATCATAATAACAGTTCCCATAACGTAAGATCTAAATGCACTTAAAAATTTTTTGTATGGAACATACATTGACTAATGGAAATGATGTATATTTAATTTTTACCTAATGCCATACGTATACCGTGCGTCCCATAAAAAACGTACCGTTTAAATGTACCGCGCTCATGTCGGAGAAAGTTTGAGTTTTACCGCTAAATTCGAAGCGGGACTAAAGTTTGGAAGTTTTCGACGGGATATATGAAAGTGGATAGAAGAAAAGACCATTGAAATCTTATAATCTGAAATTCAAGTAATATCGATCATTTTTATGCTGATCATTGGCGGGTATCAATGATTGAGGATGCATTGAAATGCAAAGGAGGAGGCTTTGCAAGTGCATCGGATGCACCGGCTGAATTGGCTATAATAGGTATACGCTAATTCTCTATATCTATCGATGCCCCTATATACTTGGGCTATATACGTAGTAGCTGCTATCTAGTAGTGACCGTGATAGATGCAACGGGAAATTGTCCCCTTTCGGTCCCGGTGCATCGATTTTGCCTCCTGCCGACGGTTTCGCAACCCTAATTGCATCCCCTGGCAAATTGCAAGATACACCCCCAGCGCTAACGGAATACCGTAGGTGCAGACTGCCTATAGATATATATGGTGCCTATGGTACGTATAAGCTAACTAGCTATGAGGTAAACGACCCAAGATGCATTATGCATAACAGTAATAATAATAGTAGTAACGGAGGGTATTATGGTTATTATTCCTTAAGCTTCTCGGATTACCGTAATAACGTGAGATCTAGGGGAAACTCGACTACGAAGGGATTAATTAGGAGTAAAGCATTTTACATCGAAATCATTATTTTAATGGAAGTACTTGATAAAACGGACGATTAACTTTTCAATTCCGTTTGGTTGATATCGACGCGGTGGAGTTTTTGGTAAAAAAAATGTTGTCGGACATTTTTACATTTCTTTTTTTATTTGTTTTTATTTTTTTTTTCGTATTTACGTTATTTGGGATTTTTCATCGGATCTATACTTTTTGATATTGCTTTATCGCTTTGAAGTCTTGTCCGTGGAGACTTTACTCCGCGGAGATTAATTGGTAATTGGAGATTTGGATTTAATCAGGAGGACTTAAAGGCTCTGTATTCTTGTACGTGTATGTATATAGGCTCTTGCTAAGGTGGTTGTAAATATTTGAAATTCCCGCGCTAAAAGGTGCCAAGGTGTATAAGGGTTTTTTTTAATGATAACGTTAATCCAGTGCTTTTATTTGATGTATTTATATCGCGCAAGACGCTGATATTTAATTTATTTTGACTTAACGGTGACCTTGCGGAGGTCCTGGTCATTTTTTAATTGCGGGTTTGAATTATTTCGGAGAACATTTTTTTAATCGAGGAACTGGATATTAGCTTCTTTAATCCTAGAATCTGGCACGCTGTTCTCAAGGCTATACGAATTTTTTCTAGCGGCATACAGAGTAGGGTAGATTGTACATACCTTAGTACGTGCCTTTGGAATTATCACTGGGTTTGTTGGTTTGACTTAAAAAAAAAAAAAAATTTCATTAATCCGAAATACTTTTGTTATTCCAGAATTTTCGACTTAATTGAAAACTAAATTACCCGTTATGCCGGGACTGTATTATAAATTTGTACTTTTTAAGGAAATCTACATAAAAGTTTAAGTACACAGAGGCGATACGTGCCAGGAGTGTAAATTCGCGATAATACAAAATGCAAAATGTTTCTACACTTTTTCTTTTATTCCCGACGAATTTTATCTCTCACTTGTTTTTTTTTTTTATTCTTAATCCCTCGAGTTTATATAATACAGTCTTTGTGCCAATGGTGGGGGTACCCTTTTAGGGATCCGATTATGCAAACCTAATTTTCTCTGCATCCTAAAAAGATAAGGGGG